TCAGGAGACTGATGAGGCCCTGCCTCCCCTGCCTCTAGTGACTGCACGTCCCTGGTCTATGCATATTAATTTCTAAGCATATTTTCTAATAGTATTTAAAATATCTTTTGTATATACATCTCACAGTAGCCTTACTATAAATTGTAAGGGAAAAAGTATTCTTACACTATAAAGTGATTTGGATCATGCATTGCCACAGGGCTAAGAATGATCATGATCAAATGCTTTTTTCCCTTCTTACAACAGAATTGAGTACAAGTAGTCCTGATCTTACAAGAGTTCCTTTGGTAACCATTCAAAGTTACAATGGCCCTGAAAAAAGTGACTTATGACCATTTTTCATGCTTATGACCATTGCATCCCTGTGGTCACGTGATTTACATTTGGATGCTTGACAACTGACTCACTTTTAAGATGGTTGCAATGCCCTGGGATCATGTGATCCCCTTTTGCAACCTTCTGACAAGCAAAGTCAATGGGGAAGCCAGATTCACTTAACTGTGTTACTAATGTAACAACTGCAGTGATTCACTTAACAACTGTGGCAAGAAAAATCGTAAAATGGGGGAAAATTCACTTAACAAATTTCTCACTTAGCAACATAAATTTTGGGCTCAGTTGTGGTCTTAAGTTGGGGACTACCAGTAATCATGTTAGAATTAATTCCAAATTACATTTGAATTTTTCATTTCTTCATTGATTTCTAAAAATGGTTCTCCAGTCTTGAGGATTTTGAAATATGTTTTCAAAGACAAGTGAAAATGGCTTCCTTTTCCAAGTTCTTCATTGCATTCTCCTTCTTACTTTATTTTTGCCCTATAGACAATCAGAATTGTATGCCCAAGCTCACTTCACATTAAGCTGTTTTCTCGTCTCTTTTGTGAATGTCAATTTTTTTTCCCCCTATAAAGCATCCCATTTAGCACTTGTGTGTCAGGGAATGAGGCAAATAATAAAACTTGCATCATGACACAGCGATGCAATTTCTATTCATTACAGGCTTGCATTCAGAATTGAGACACAGTTAGAGAATAGTGGAGCTTGTATTATAGTGTCCTGATACTCATTTTGACATTATAGTGTATTATACTGTCCTGATACTCATTTTGACATTATTGGGTTTGTGTTCCTGTGCACCAAAGGATCAGAAATAAAGTTTTTTTGTACCTAATAATAGTTAAAACATTAACTTACAATAACGTTGCTCATATTCATCAATTGTACATTTTAACTGTCATTTTTTCAGTGATGTTGTGCGATTAGAAAGACCAGAACTAGAGGAACAAAGAACACAGCTCATTATCAGAATCAATGCTGATAAGAATCAACTGAAAGCAATTGAAGATAAAATTCTAAAAATGCTTTTTACATCAGAAGGGAATATTCTGGACAATGAAGAACTCATCAATACACTTCAAGACTCAAAGGCAGGAGGCATTTTATATCTGTCTGTCTGTCTGTCTGTCTGTCTTCTATCAATCTATATAGTATGACCTACCAACATACCTATCATCAAATTTAATCATGCTTATAATCAAGGAAATATATTAAGCTTGTAGTTTTCAGTGATTATATTCTAGATGAGGTTACATTTCAATAATTGGAGTAACCTATTCGATATTGTGCATATTACAAAGTGGAAATACTAACATTTTTCATTAAGAAATTGATTCTATTCTTGAATTAGCTGCATACAATGGAATATGAAAAAGATGACATATAGAAAACCTCTTGTTTATGCCAAGATCACAAATCAGTTTATTAGACCTTACATTACAGGGACATCATTAGATGTACAACATTTAGAAACATCAATTGCCAGCAACTACTTCAGTTCATAGTCCTAATATATCAAATCAATTTAGAACAATTAATCCACCTTAAAAACACAGTCTCCAATTATATCCTAGTAATCCTAATATGAGAAAATTTACATACTGTAACTGAGTATGGTTTCAGCACATTGAACACCTAAAAGGTACAAAAATTAAATATTCTTATTGTTATCATCCGTGTCTTTCCAAATGGTACAGCAGTTTTCTTTGTGAATTTTTTTTCCCATGTTTAAGTATTATAAACATTATGAGACAGTAGAAGATTAGAAGCAACATTAGGAGCAAGAAGACTCAAGTTTAAGATAACCCTCAGCCATGGGTGACTCTCAAACCTATTATTTAGGGATTTTGTGTAGGAAAATTGGAGGAGGCCATTTTATGTATGCTGCCTTGAGAAATTGTGGGGGGAACATAAGCTCTTAAATAAAATTTAAATTTGTGCTTTTAGATTACCTCTGGTGCCATTAAAATAAGGCTTGTAGAAGCAGAAACTACAGAAGAAAAAATAAATGCTGCTCGTGAAAAATATCGCCCTGTTGCTACTCGAGGATCAGTTATGTATTTTGTAATTGCAAGTCTTTCTGATATTGATCCAATGTATCAGTTTTCTTTAAAATATTTCAAACAGGTTGGTAACTTTTCTTTCAACTGCATATTTCCGTTAGCTATTTTTTTCTCATTAAAAATAGACCTAACAAAGACAATTTCCTCCATGCCATTGGCTTTGAAACTCAGTTTAATTGCTAAAATGATTTGCAATATGATTTGCTTTGTTGCTGATTGAGGTAACTACAGATAAAGCTGGTTGCCTCATTTATTAGATCCTGGTGCTTCTATAAAATAATTTGTCAGAAGAACTGTATAGCATACCATACTAATTAGGGGCTGCCACAAAGAAGAGGTAGTCAACCTATTCTCCAAAGCACCTGAAGGCAGAAAAAGAAACAATGGATAGAAACTAACCAAGGAGAAAACCAACCTAGAAATAAGGAGGACTTTCCTGAGAGAACAATTATTTGGCAGTACAGCTTGCCTTCAGAAGTTGTGGATGCTCCATCACTGGAGGTTTTAAGAAGAGTTTGGACAACCAATTTGTCTGAAATGCTATAGGGCAGAGGTGTCCTTCGTGGCTGAGGGCTAGATGCATCACGTACAGGCCATGCCCACCTCTTCTCCAAAAATAGAAAAAAGCTGCAAAACGTCTTGTGATGCGGCAAGTGACAACAATGGATTAGGGCCATGATGGTGAACCTATGGCAAGTGTGCCACAGGTGGCATGAGGAGCCATTTCTGAGGGCACACAAGGCGTTGCCCTGTCAGCTCCAGCAGGCATGTACGTGCTGGCCAGCTGATTTATGGCCTTGATTTTCGGCCATTTTTCACCCTGGAGAAAAACTGCCAAATGGGCAACCCAGAAGTCAATTCCTGAACTTCCAGTTTGTGTGTTGGAAAGCTGGAGCCTGAGGAATGCGAAAAATGGACCTACTGGGCTCACCAGAAGTTGGAAAACAGGCCATTTCCGGCCTTTGGAAGGCCTCCGGAGGGGGAGGGGGAGACTGTTTTTGCCCTCCCCAGTCTCCAAGTAAGCCATGCATGCATGTGACAGTGGGAGGTTCACGTGCGCATGCACAGGGGGTACGGCACAGGGAGCCTTTAAATTATGGTGCACGATTGCACACACTTGCTTTTGGTACCCAAGGCAAAAAAGATTCACCATCACTGGTATAGAGTCTCCTGCTTGAGCAGGGATTGGACTAGAAGACCTCCAAGGTCCCTGTCAACTCTGTCATTCTGTCACTCAGGGTCAGGCAGCACGGAAAATTAATTAAAATTAGTTTGTTCACTGGGTTTGGACCCGTCACCATCTCTCAGCTCAACTTACCTACAGTATTATTGTTGTGGAAAAAATAAGAGGGGAAAGGAATATTCGGTATGTTCACCACTTCCATTTATTTATAAATTCAATAAAGGCCAGATAAAAAAAGTCTTTAAAAATCTAAATTAATGTTCTGCTTCTTTTTCTATTTTTTCAGGATCTCACTTTCCCTATCCTTTTAATGCCCGTTTTCTGTTCCTTTTTCTTTGTAGCTATTTAATGTAACAATTGAAACTTCTGAAAAAAATGATGTTCTGGAATTGCGATTAGCAATCCTACTTAGTCAGACTCTCTATGCAACTTACACTAATGTTTCCCGAGGCCTTTTTGAACAGCACAAACTCATCTACAGCTTCATGCTGTGCATTGAAATCATGCGGCAGAAAGAAGAACTTACAGACCTTGAATGGAATTTTTTCTTGCGTGGAGCTGCTGGTTTGGATAAGGTATTTCGGGCATGATTTTTATAATTAGTGAAATTTCAAATCTCTGTTTTTAGTCATTGTAAACAAGAGATTAGCATTCCAACTTCTAATTGAGAATTTAAAGATAACAAAGAAAAACAAAACAACCTATACAAATAGTTACCAATAGTTCTTGTTGTTAGGGGATAGCTTTGTGCTGTTTGTTTAATTGAATATAAATAATATATTATATAATATATAATATACTTTTATTAGTCAATGACCAAAATAAAGTTTCTGCCTGACTGTCTACCAAACACCCTTACATCTATAAAAAACAATGATTAGAGATACAACTATTCAGGATACAGCCTAGTATACTGTCAGTAAACAAGGAAAGGCCTGGGCAGTGCTTGGCTGAGAATTCCTTTTCTGTAGGTATTAGCCTTCAAATCAACTTAATTTTGAAATGCCCAGAAAGGTGCTCTTATTTTTGGTGTTTTAGAGTCCATAAAGGGGAAGAAACAGAGAAAGAGCACCAAAAATAGAAAAACTCTTTAAAAAAGACAGAGAATCCTCAGCCAAAATATCTGCTGCTAAGCAAGGCAATTGTTAAGTATTCACACCTAATTTTATTACTTTTTTTGCCACAATTGTTAAGCCAACCACTATAGTTGTTAAGTGAATTGTGCAGTCATTAAGTGAATCTGGCTTACCTCTTTGACTTTGCTTATCGGAAGCCAACTAAGAACATTGCAAGTGGCAATCATGTGATCTTGGGATGCTGTAACTGTCATAAATACGTGCTGGTTGCCAAGTGCCTAAAATACTGATTACTGGGAATGTTTTGACAGTCATAAGCACAAGGAGCGGTAATAAGTCACTTTTTTCAATGTTGTAACTTCAGATGGTCACTAAAGGAATGGTTGTAAGTCAAGGATGACTTGTACCCATACTGTTATCATTAAGTAGCTGATCAGAGATCTGAGATTAAGGATTGATCAGAAAACTAGGCAATACAGTAATTACATCATGCTTTGGATACTCTTCAACTGTATTCCTGTTTTATCTAATGTGTAGGCTGAATATATTCTCTATACAACTTTTGCCCATTTCGCTTGACACATCTATCATCTTTGTAACAGGAACGGCCTGCCAAACCTCAGATTCCATGGCTGGAAGAAAATACGTGGTTTATGTGCTGTGACTTAGAAGAAACACTTCCAAGTTTTGAGGGCATTCAAAAAGACATATTGCTCAAGCCCATTTTCATTAAACTAGGTAACATATTTTTGAAGAGATTGTAAAAAAATGTTTATACAAGAAATGGTTTTGTGCTTTTTCTGCATAAATTGGACTCCTCTCAAATAATTAAATCCCCTTTTTAAGATTGCTTACTGTGTATATTTTAATTGTATTTTGTCATGGTTAATAAGAGTTAGTTTGGTTTAGTTAGGTTGATTGGTTGGTTGGTCAGTCAGTGGGTCAGTTAGTTAGTTAGAAGATTGAACAACCATTTGTCTGAAATGGTATAGCATTTAGTGCCTGAGCAGGGGGTTGGACTAGAAGGCCTGCAAGGTCCCTTCCAATTCTGTTATCCTGTTAGTCACTATAAAGATCTTGTTTTCCAAACTAGACAGCATAGGAGGGAGAAGTGCTTAAAAGGTGTTCTTTCCAGCTAGTTAGTTTGATCTACTCCAAACCTCTCCCAAAGGGGAGAACTATAGCCATGTAAAGCAAATGCAGCTGCCATTTCATTTTGTTTTTAAGTTAACATTAGATAAATTTGCATAAGAAAGAACAATATCAGAAAAGCTTGCATTGGGAAATACAAATGGTAAGGAAAGTATTTTAATCGTATACAACTTTGTTGTTTTATTTATATATTTGGTTGGGTAACCCTTGTGGGGTTCAGTTTAGCGTTGCTGTCTGCAACGGCAGACTGCTTTTTAGTGAATCCACTGTGGGAGAAATCCCTGCTAAATTTCTTTTTAAGTTCCCTAATGACAGTCTCAGCAACTAAAGCCTTTTTTATCAACTGGTATTTGCATAATTGGACTCTCTTTCTTTGTCAGCAAATACTCCTATTAAGACAGTATTCTGGCTGTCTGCAAGCCATGGTTTTTCAAATCAAGAGGCAGCTTTGGGGAAATGGAATCTCTCCTATTTTTCTATTCCTCTCCATTGTTTTTATAATCTTTTAAAATGCCAGTTTCTAATAATAGCTCCCACAACATCTTCCAATAAAAAGTATTTTTTTTAAAAAAAAAAAAACCACAATAACATTGATATCATTCCCAAATTCTGCTTCCTTATTCGTTTTTTTGTCATGTGTAATAGTGCTACATTTAAACTAATTATATATCACACTAATTAGAGTTGATGGCAACCAGGATTTAAAATTAGGGTTTGAAAGCATGCTAAATGAAATTAGAGTCAATCAGGAAAAAGAACAACATGAGTAAAGCGGGCAAATTAAATAGCCAGTACATTTTTCACAGGAGACCATTTTGGTAATATTCCACTTTTGTAGACTGTTTTGTTGTGTAGCCCTCAACTTACAACAGTTTGTTTAGTGACCGTTCCAAGCTACAACGGCACTAAAAAAGTGATTCATGACCATTTTTACACATATGACCGTTGCAGCATCCCCATGATCATGTGATCAAAATTCAGATGCTTGGCAAATGGTTTGTATGACGGTTGCAGTGTCCCAAGGTCATGTAATCCCTTTTTGCGACCTTCTGACAAGCAAAGTCAATGAGGAAATCAGATTTCACTTAATAACTGTGTTACTAGTTTAATAACTGCAGTGATTCACTTAACAACTGTGACAAGAAAAGTCGTAAAATAGGGCAAAACTCACTTCTCACTTAGCAACATAACTTTTGGGCTCAATTGTGGTCTTAAGTTGAGGACTACATGTAAAGGGAACACCCTTCCATTGGAATTAAGAATTTCTTCATCTTTTCCAATGTTGCAGAAACTTTGGGAGACCCAATTTTTCCAATAAGCATTTGATTAGTTTGTTATTTCCATCTTTAATTTATTTTAATTTGAATTAATTTAGGAGTTTAATTGTTTTATTGATTGATTGATTTTACTTATTTATATAAGTTGTATGTAAACTTCAGTTTATTATTAATTGTTTTAATTTCTTTACATTGACACGTATGTTTTATCTGCATGTAAGTTTTATCAACCAATGTGTATCTATATTGATTCACAATGACGGATTCTCAATAGAATGACTGATTAAATCATAATTTAAATTAAATTAAATATGGGGTGTACACTTACTAGCACATGATCTCCAGAGAGATATCATTATGGCCATATTTTTAAAAAAATCCATATTTTAATGATCCATGTGAGATAGAATTACCGGTAAACATATTCTAATACCATATCAACCCCATTGTGACAATGACTTGAGACTATTACAATTTTTTAGGGCAACTTGATATTCATATCAATCCAGAAGAGTGGGAAGGCTATAAGTCTGAAGTTGACGAAAAGAAAAAAAAAGATGACAAGCCATACATTCCCTGGGATAATAGGCTGACCATGTTTCAGAAGTTAATTATAGTGAAATGTTTTGCGGAAGAGAAGGTAAGTTTTCTATTGACAATTTAAGGCATTGTTGCTATTTTAGTATTTTCCTTTCAGGCATACAGGAAGAAAAAGCTACTCTCCTTCATTCCCAATAAGATGTTAGTGGTTTAGTCTCGGTGTTCTTAAACTTTTTGTCCCTGGATTCCTTGGAGTGGAAAATTATATCAGAAAATTATATTTTAAAAATAAATCTATACACATAGATTGGGTTAAAATGAATTGCAATGCAAAAAATCACGACTTGACTTTGATTGATTTTTTTTAACTGTTGTAACTGAACAGTTGCTAAACAAGGCAGTCAGTAAGAGAGGACTAGTTTATAATAAAATACAGCTAGTCCTCCACTTACAACAGTTCATTTGGTGACCAAAGTGACAACTGCACTGAAAAAGTGATTTATGACCATTTTTCATACTTATGACCATTGCAGCATCCTCGTGGTCATGTGATCAAAATTCAGACACTTGGCAACTGACTCATAATTATGATGGTTGCAATGTCCCAGGGTCATGTGCTCCCCTTTTGTGACCTTCTCACAAGCAAAGTCAATGGGGGAGCCAGATTCACTTAACATCAATGTTACTAACCTAACAACTGCAGTGATTCACTTAACAACTGTGACAAGAGTGGTCGTAAAATGGGGGCAAAATTTACTTAACAAATGTCTTGCTTAGCAACAGAAATTGGGGTCTCAATTGTGGTCATAAATCGTGGAGTTCCTGTATACTCAAATAAGTAACACATTTAACTTTATATGAATAGTGTTCAAAAATAAATGCAATTATTGTTCCACTATTTTTATTCATAGTGGAACCCTGTGTGCTTGCTTACCCCATATGCTCTTGCACTAGCAAATTAACTGTGTTGCTATTTCTAGATCGTGTCAGCACTTACCGAGTTTGTAATGGAGAACCTTGGGAAGCAATTCATTGAGAATCCTCCAGTTGATCTGGCAACTCTTTACCAAGATATGTCTCCTGCCACACCGCTGGTATTCATCTTAAGTACAGGCTCTGACCCCATGGGGGCATTCCAAAGATTTGCAAAAGAGCGAGACTATTCAGAACGGTATAGATTGTCATTCGGTATTGTATATGAGACATAATACCTTTTAAATGTAAAACTATGCATTCTTTGTCAGGGCTCCAAGTAACACCACAACAGAAGAAGACTCCGGGGCTTAAGTTTCCTCAAAGTTCCATTTTATTAGAGATGTCATATTGGCACATCCAGAAAAACCCAAATCTGAAAGCTTCCAGGTTTTCCCCACCCAAACCAAAGTTCAAGTCCCTGCCCAACACCCCTGTGTCCATCAAATGATCGAATTAGGTACCATCCAACACTGGAGATGCCTCCCAGTCACTTCATCACAGCTGCAGGGCAAGATGGCCTTGACTTTCTGAGAAAGAATGTTATTTTGACTATATCTCACCCACTCACTCGGTATAGCCCCCTCCCATTTTCCCACAGTAGAAAATGTGGCAGGCCTGAAATCCCAAAGGTAAAAGATGGCTTCCAGGCCTGACATTCTTTTCATTTGACTGTATTCAAGATGATGCATTAAGATTTTTTTTTAAAAATAACTGGAATTATATGCATACATGGTAAACCTCTTGAAAAGGGCTGCCTTGCAAAATATAAGAAAAGATGCTAAATCTCCCTAGGTTATGTAGTTTTTAG